TTGTCTTGTGTTACGGGACATTGCAGAGACTGGCTGATGACTCCTTAACTCAACTTGTAAGACTAGTGAGCATCCAGACAATGTCCAGGGAGAAGGAGGATACTAAGTAAACAACACGAAGAGGTAGGCAGATCAGTATGTTGATAGTATGTGTGCAGATGTATCTGTCCATACTGTTTGCGTATATACTGGTGGGCAGGTGTATTTGTTATACGTATCATTTTAAGAGTACATACTGTTACGTACACTGGTTTTAAAAGCATTTAATGGATGTAGGAGCATGAATCATAGAATCACTGAATGGTGTGGGGTGGAAGGGACCTTAAAGATCATCTAGTTCCAACCCCCCTGCCAGGGGCAGGGACACCTTCCACTAGACCAGGTTGCTCAAAGCCTCATCCAGCCTGGCCTTGAACCCTTCCAGGGATTCCACTTCCACAGCTTCTCTGGGCAACCTGTTCCAGTGCTTCACCACCCTCTCCAGGAAGAACTTCCTCCTGACACTAATCTAAACCTCCCCACTTTCAATTTAAACCCATTATCCGTTGTCCTGTCACTACAGGCCCTTGTAAAAAGTCCCCTCCCAGCTTCCTTGTAGGCCCCTTCAGGTACTGGAAGGTGCTATAAGGTCTTCCTGGAGCCTTCTCTTCTCCAGGCTGAACAAGCCCAACTCTCTCAGCCTTGATTTGAAATCCATTGATTTTCAAAATATATACGATCTACTTAATGTTAGATTCATTTCTAACATAACTGCAGCCCAAGGAAGAAACTAAAATTTTTTGTTGCACACACTTATAAAAAAATACATCAAATGTTATATTCACACACAAACACACATGCATGCACACATACTTCTATAAACCTACACATACAAAACCCACCTTTTCCTATGTATGTATATACAAAGCATACATTTACACAGTAGCTGCTTGAAAGGGAAAGTTTCACAGAGCTGGAAACAATTATAAATAAAGAACAGTTTGAAGAAAAAATGTCAGCAGAAAAATATGAATAATAGTTAGGAATTATTTCACGTCTCCCACACTCAAGATGAAAAGCTGCACCTATTCAAGCCTAATGAGGATGTAGCCTATAAAATATAAGTGGAAATATATGGAGAGCCAGGTTTTCTTCATTGATCTGTGATATGCAAAACAGTTAACTAACGACCAGTTAATGTTATTTTAAACTACCAGTTATGCAATACAGTTAACTAAGGATCAATTTAATGTTCTTTTAAGCTCGCAGTTATGATCCTGCATCCCCTCAACCACAATGCTGAAAAACTGATGAATGTAACATAAACGAAACAGAGTAAGTATGTGCACTCCGTAAAAATGAGTACAGCAGTTCTGGAAATATTTCAGGTATTTGGAACTCACCAGAGTATTTGCTCAACAAGCTAAATGTATTTTTCCAAACTTTCTCTCGTGTATTACAAAAAGCCTTCTTCAGCTATGTCTGGGAAAAACCTCACCATTTTTACAAAATATTAAATTTTCACCTGATTTCTTGGATGTTTGCTGTTCTGATGCTTGACTGAATTGCAATTGTCTTGATAAAAGCTTGGTTTTGCTCCTGCTGGAATATGAGGCTGCCATTCGGCTTGCCTTCCGAGGGTCTAATCTGACTCTTTTAGCTTGGACATCTTCTGCTTCAGGAAACTGTGAAACCATGTTGGTCTTTGCATTTCCTTCCTCCCCATTTTTTTCAGTGCCTTCTGTTCCACTTACTCCAGCAACAACTTCTTCATCTGTTGGTTTAACAGAAAAATTTAAGAGTGTCTATGGCATACACAGAATGTTTACAGCAAACTCATAAATTAATTATTTTCAAACAAAATGTGGCACCTATTTTCTGGGAGGTTTCTTTATGCATATTTTCCACAATTTGAAGCGTGTCCTTTTCACGGAGTTGTAAAGTTATAGGCTCCATCTCTAAATTACTAGCATTTTCAGTTTCAATATGACATCCTTCAACACTTTCTTCTGAGTGAAGCAGGGTCCTCCCTCCTTTCTCTGGTTGTGAAGCCTTTTGTTCAGTGGTGCTTAGTACACCACTGGTAGAATTGTAAGGACTTCCAGAAACACTTTCTCCATTAGTAGCTGCTAAAAGCTCATGTGCTAACAGTGTTTCTGTGTTTGCTTGAAGTATCTGTTCAGTGCAGCTGGTTCCATCTTCAGATATATTAGTGTATGTGTTTTGCACCTGATTTACAATGGTCTGTTGCAGTATCTCCATGCTCTCTGAATCTGTAAGATTTGCATAGGCTGGTTCTGAGCCATGTGCCTGTAATGAAATCTGTTCAAACAAAGGCAAAGAGAGTTTTAAACTTAGAGCCTCTCCACTAATTTTGTTTCTACTATTTTCAGATTTAATTTGATTTGTCAAGTTTTGCAAAGAAAGTATTCATTCTGAAGGTATTCGCATTCCTGTCACTGAAACTACTCCTGTGACTCTGCTTGACACTATGTTGATCTCTCTCATAACTCTTGACTTCCTGTTGTAACTTTAAAACAGATATATTGTGAGAGGAAGTCAAAATAAGTAAGTATTGACTGAGAATCAAGTTCTGTTAAATCAGCAGTTCGAGATATTTTTTGTGTATTTCACCAAATTTGTTTTTCTCCTTTGCTCATCTGTAGGAAAAGTTGCTTTGATGCCTTAGTATGATCATGCTGAACTCTGCCATCTGCATTTAATTCTCTCTATAAAACAGGCCGTATACTTAATTTCATTTTCTGATTTATTTTTTATTATATAATAAAAGAAAACTGCTATTATAAAATCAACTGATTTCCCCTGCCTGTGTAGCTTTTTAAGACAGCAGGTCAAAGAAATTAAGGGACTAAGAAGTATGTGTATAAAAGTGAAAAAATTAATGGGTGAAATCCAATGATAAATATTACTGAAGTGCTTCACACCTTTATTTATTTATGAAAATTGATCTGGTTTTGAGTTAATACTCTGTCTTTAAAGAATTAAAACTACATTCCTCACATGGTTATATACCAGAGCTACAGTTTCACATTTCTGGCAAACCTGACTGCAGTTATTCTAGGAAATTATAAAGGATAATAACTCAGCCAAAAGAAGCACAATTACTCATGGCAACCTCAAAACAAAATTACTCCGAAGGCCAATGACTAACTAGAATTATCCTGCTGATTACTTTGTATCTGTATATAGAACCAGAACACAAACACCGCAACAACTCACACAAATACTGAAATCATCAGTTACACCACCACAGTAACAGGTTTTCCTAATTAAATGTTCACAATACCTTCTACTTCATCAATCAACTCGTGTTTTAAAGTGTAATCCAAGATTATACACCATGGATGCTGTTCCAGCATAACATTTCTAAGAACACTGTAGACTACACTATTGTGACGAATAAGGACAGTTATCATAACCACATGAAACTTAAGGAAGCAAGAATAAAGTGTCTGTGCACACTGCATTATGTTTCAAATATTGCCAGTTAGCATTCTTCAAAGGAAGAAAAGTAGAGGGCCAGAGTACAGCTTTTAATGCCAAAAGCTGTTGTGCTATATGCAGACAATGACCCCGGTGAGGAATCGTGGTGTCTTGTCTTCACGTGAGGCACTAGCTCTCACATCTTACTCTGGTCTCACAGCATAACCGTGCAAACCAGTGCTCCCTAACCCTTTCTGATCGCAACCCAACACAACCTACTACACAGAGGCAAGAAGCAGCTATCCTACTGCTACAAGCTAGGGAACACCTTGCAGTTTCAGTCAGGTTTCTGCAAGTACAAAGAGGCAGTGATGTACCATTCTGGCTCTAAATAACATCTGCAGCACCTGCAAAAAACTCAGCAACAACCACTGTTTTTGAGAGGCACCTGATTGCTGCTGTCTTGCATCTTCAGGAGGCTGCAGCTTATTCCAAGTACCAGTAAGGATCAGCAACTGCTTGCCAGAGAATCGTCATGACATTGAATACCAGTCTGTTGCAGCCACTGATGGGTATGAAGCATACCTAGTACACTATGTGCTGGGTTTGAAACACATTTCAGAAACAGACATCTACTTCAGTTTACTGAAGACTCCTAGCAAGTCCTTAACAGTTCAGCATCAATTTAATATCAGGATTCTGTGTAAAGATGTACCTGATGCAGGTTTGTATCCTCTACACTTAGACTATGTAACATATTCTTTGAACCATCTCCACCTGAAATGAAAATGAAAGACAAAAAGAAACCAGAATTGAAAAGAGATCATAATTCTTTACTTGGCATATATAGCATCTATGTCCATAATCTTGTGTGGAACAGTACTTACCACACCTAGCTATCCAGAAAAATTATCAAGCCATAAGGGTTCTATTAGCATCTAAACCATATTAAGATACACAAAACATGTATTAGGATCTCATCTGGTATTAGTTGCAGAGGGTGTCTTGTACAAAACCAGACAGGTGAGAGTGAAGTATGCTTCCAAATTTTTTTTAACATTAGTGATCTGAGCAATTATTTTTGAAATGCAGAGTAACTACTACATTTCACTAACTTCAAACAGGCTTCCCTGATCCCCAAGTGGTTTTGCTGAAGCCAGAGATGGTGGGATAATACCCTAAATTACATTTTACCCTGTACAGCGTATTTGGACAGGGAAGGGGATGGAATAGCTAAAGCCAAGTCGTTGATGTAAAAATAGTCAGGGATATTCACCAGGACCAATTGAGAGCCTTGCTGGTGGGTGGCTTTAGCTTTCCAGCTACACTCTGTGCTGACAAAAATGGCATAAAAAGAGTGTATCAGCTGCCAAGATCTTACTCTACATATTAATATACTTATTTAATCCATGCAACTATATACATTTACTTCTGGCCAATGTGTTCTTAAACTGAGACTAGCCATACCATATTGAAAAAAAAAATCTAGCTCATCATCTTTTGTCATTTTCTACAGCAACATGAACCCCAACCCCAGCCCTAAGACTTACCCAACAACCCATGCTGGAACCACCCTTGAATTTATTTAAGAGGCAATTCACAGCATGGCAAGTTTTCCTCTGCCACCTCAGGTAGTCTTGCATACCAGATGCTAACCCTCGCCCTAGGATCACTCTCAGTCTACTGGATCCTGCCAGTTTTAGTCTTACATTAAGCCCAATGGCCAAGCTATTAAGCACTGATTAAGCCAAATCCTAATCCAAGCCATAATTTTGAACATTTTTTAGCCTACCAATCTTTTTAAGGCTCAGAATATCTAGACGATCTTTGGTGGCTTCAGCCCTAACCTCTAATAATGGGAGCTCTGAAATGCAGAGTCCCTGTCAGGCCAATCTCCTATAGCAGCTGTAACGTTGGTTTCACTCACATCTGAAGTCAGTAATTCCTGCCTACTCCTACTGCCCTGAGTCTCAATTTACAGAATAACAGAATCACAGAATGGTTTGGGTCAGAAGGGACCTTTAAAAGTCACCTAGTCCAACCCCCCTGCCACGTGCAGGAATGTCTTCAACTAGACCAGGTTGCTTAGAGCCCTATCCAAACTGACAAACCTTTCCAGGAAAGCAGCATCTACCACATCTCTGGGCAACCTGTTCCAGAGTTTCACCACTCTGAGATTAAAAAATTTTTCTTCCTTATATCTAGTCTAAATCTACTCTCTTGTAGTTTAAAACCCTCTGTCCCATTGCAACAGGCCCTGCTAAAAAAGTATGTCCCCATCTTTCTTATAAGCCCCCTTTAAGTATTGAAACCACTTGTGACCAACATCCATCTGGACATTGAGTCATTGACCACTACCCTCTGGATATGGCCATCCAACCAGTTCCTCACCCACTGAACAGTCCACCCATGAAATCTTCATCTCTCCAATTTACAGGGAAGGATGTTTCGGGGGACCATGTCAGTGGCCTTACAGAAGCCCAGATTGATGACATCAGTAGCTCTTCCCTTGTCCACTGATGAAGTCACTCCATCACAGAAGGCCAGTAGGTTGGTCAGGCAAGACCTGGCCTTGGTGAAGCCACGCTGGCTGTCTCAAATCACCTCCCTGTCCTCCATGTGCCTTAGCACAGCTTCCAGGAGGATCTGCTCCATGATCTTTCTGGGCACAGGGGTCATGCTGACAGGCAGTTCCCAGGGTCCTCCTTTCCACCCTTTCAAAAAATAAGTGCAATCTTTCCCTTTTTCCAGTTACCAGGGACTTCACCTGACTGCCGTGACTGTTCAAATATCAAGGAGAGTGACTTGGCAAGTACGTCAGTCAATTCCCTCAGGATTCTAGGATGCACCTCTTCAGGTCCCAAAGACTTATGTGTGTTCAGGTTCCTCAGATGGTCATAAACCACCTTTTCTCTTACAGTGGGAGGGACTTTGCTCCCCAAGTCCCTGCTTGCGGTCCATCCACCCCAGAGGTTTGGAAAGAGAGGCTGCCAGTGAATACTGAAACAAAACAGTTGTGGAGTACCTCTGCCTTCTCCTCACCTTTTGTCACCAGTTTGCCAGGCTTGCTCAACATGAGGGCCACGCTTTCTTCAACCTCCTTTTTCTGGCTGACATACCTGCAGAAGTCCTTCTTCCTATTCATTGCATCCCTTGCCAAGTTCAGCTCCATTCGCACCTTGGCCATCCTGACTCCAACCCTACGCAACAAGGCAACGTCCAAGTACTCTTCCCAGGATACCTGTTCCTGCTTCCACTGCCTGTGTATTTCCTTCTTGCCCTTTAATTTGATCAACAGGTCTCAACTCAGCCATGCTGGTCTCTTGCCTTACATCCCTCATTTCTTGTTCTCATTGAACATCCGGAAGTTTTCTTTCCTAAAATTCAGTGTCCTGACTTTACTCTTTGCCTGACCCATATCCCTCAGGACTGCAAACTCCACCAGTTCCACCAGCCCCAGCTGCCTCCAATCTTGATGTCACCAATTAGCTCGATTGCATTGGTGACCACCAGCTCCAGTATCACATGCTGGAGGTAGGTAGGGCTGTAGAGGGCATCCCTCTTTCCTTACCTGTCCCTTCTGAACAGCCTGTAGCCATCGACAGGCACACTCCAGTCATGGGATTTGTCCCACCACGTTTCAGTAATGGCAACTAGGCCATTGCTTTCTAGCAGCATGGTGGCTTCCAACTCCTCCTGTTTATTGCCCATGCCGTATGCACTGGTGCAGAGGCCCTTCAGCTGGGCCCTTGGCTGTGTCACCTCTTTAGAGGAACATACCCTTGAGGTATTTCACTGGTGTTTCACTATTGGCTCCTCAGGAGCCCCTGGCTCATCTCCATGAGATTTCAAGCGCGCTCCAGTGTAGTCAGCATGTCTCAGAGCAACAGGCTGAGTGCCTTCGCTAGCACTCTGTCTCTAACTTTAGCGTGCCATCCCATAACTTGCCACTGGCAAGTCTGATATCACACCTCCTCTCCCTTCAAGTCTAGTTTAAAGCTCTGTCAATAAGCTCTGGTAGCTCATGAAGAAAGACCTTCTTCCCTCTTTGAGAAAGATGAATCCCATCCAACACCAGCAGGCCTGGTACTGTGTAGACCATTCCATTATCGAAAAAACCCAAAACCGTGATGGTGTCACCAGCCACGAAGCCATGCATTAATAGACTGGGTCCATCTGTTTCTTCCAATGTTGCTGCCTGCAACTGCAAGGATAGAGGAAAAAAATACCTATGCACCAGATAGCCTTACCTACTGCCCCAAGGCCCTGAAGTCTCTTGACTGCTCTTGGACTACATGTTGCTGCTTCATAACCACCCACATGAAAAAGCAATAATGAGTAATAGTGTGAGGGCTGGGGCCTCCTTCCAGACTTAAACATGCCACAGCCCACACTGACCCATTGGTGTCCAATAATCCTAATTCTAACTATAATCAAGGCTTATCTTGTGGCACTTCTTTGTACCTGCCCATGAACAAGCAGCTTCTTCTGAACCTTCTTTTCAACACAGTTCCTAAGACTGTACAAGATCCAACTCTCACCTTAGCCAAAATGTTCACCTACCAGCCCCTTGAAGATCCCCTAGCTACAATAATATTACCTTTGTCCCAGCCCTAACACTAGCAGTTAAGGATAAGCAGTTAAAGCTTGGCAACCCCTAAGATCCAGATCTAATCCTAGATCCTCCATTTTTTATTTTATGGGTCCTTCAAAATTCAGCCTCTATGCCAGTTCAAAACAAAATTTTATCCTTAGCTCTAAACCATACTTCAACCATCAGCAAGTCCAGCCATACCCCATCTTATATTTAGAGGGCAACAACTGCTATGCTTCACATCTTCATTTCAGATTTAAAGGTAGCTCCAGCACAAGAAAAAGCTGGACATTGTTATTTTTTAATTCTTTGCCAATGTACAGCAACTGTGACGGGTAAGGAGTGCTCACTGGTACTCAGGCATCAGACACTGAAGCCCATGAAATTACTAGCAGCAATTAAAGAAATACAGTGCAACAGATGTTCTGAATTTCTCCATTTAGTGCTAAAGAAATGTCAGAATAATTCTCTCCTACCTGATACTGAATCTCTTCTGGATTTCCTTACATAGCTTTCAAGCAGTTTACTCGTAGATGGGTCAGAAGCTTCTTCTAATGCACACCTTCTCATCTCATTTTTTGATAAAGGATCAGCTCCATGCCGAAGTAATAACTGTGCCACCTAGAAAAGTAAGTTTTTCGTATTGCTTCTTTTCTGACAGTATTTTCCATACTCCTTCCTCATACAAGATTCTCTCTCATACACAACAACATGAGCCACTAAAACCAAATCTAAGGCCTATGACAAACAATCCCTCTCAATTCTAGTTAATATACCCCAAGCATTTCCCTAGATGCATCATTATCCTATAGTCTTATTATTTTCACTTTAATGAATTCTTTCTAGGTATTAACCTGATACCATTAAGCCAAAGTCTCTGAAAATATAGGTAGGATTAATCCCCATCATAGGTTTTGATTGGTGGTAAATAACAGGTGATTTGAGGGGATGAGTCAGCTTATCTACTTAGGATATCTACTTTAGGAGAAAATAAATTGTGTGGGAGGTGTGTTTATTGTGACTCCTGTGGCTGCCAAGGAAAGCTTTGACAGCTATTTCAGATGTACAACATTCAGATGGTCTGACCAACATTATGATTTCTGTACAAATGTAAAGTCTGATTCTGTTGTTATTCAAGAAATCACCTCAGCAAAATGTTTCATCCACCATTTCAGAATACTTTCTTAAGACATGGGGAAATTTACAATCTGATTATTTCCTTTCTGTGGGTAACCCTGCAATCTTACTCCAGCACTGGTGTGGTTTTACTTCTAGCTCTGCCTTTCCTACTTCAGCATGTGTTATTTCAGACTGAGCTTGACTCACATCCTTCACCCATGCGTTTTAAGTCCCTCATTACTTCTAACTAGATTGCTACTGAGAAAATTACCAGTGAAGTTTTAGCAATTCATTCAATCTCTAACAACAGAGTAAATAAAAAAAGAGTTCTATCCACAGCAAAAACATTGTGAGGCTTCACGAGTCATCCAAAATCTATGGATATTTTTTTTCAACAAGTAATGTTGAAAACTCTTCTTCCTTAGTGAGATCTTTAGCTACACCTCACACTTGTAAGCTCTCCCCTTTAACTGCACTATTAGAACGTCTTTCATATACTTAGTATTTTCCAGAAATAAGAAATTAATTTTGCCATGTTGCGGGTGCAGAACAGCACAAACCATTCAAAATCTGTGTTTCCTGTCTACAACAACAACTTCACACAGAGAAGGTAGCTTTGAAAGAAACAGCTCCAAATACCATGTTACCAGAAGTCATATTACTGAATCACTATCACTATTTTGTTGCTAGTCAGAAGCATAAAAAAAATTGAGTCTGACAGGCCACTGCAGTGGTAAAACTATACTATTCCTGAGTAAGTACAGCGCCACTGTGTAGCACCATTTCCTGGGGATATACCAGTTCATATCACTCTAACGCAGCCCTGTGCTCAACGATGTTGGTATGCCCCATGTGACCTAACTAAGATCAGTGTTCTTCCAGTATTGTTCAAGTTACTGATGCCTAGGTATTACTTGTGAAGATAAAGAGTCCTTCAGGCATAACCAGGGACATGGCGTCTTAGGAACTTTCAGAGAACTCAGAAATACTTCACAAACCCACAAGAGTCTGTGATCCACAAGTCAAAAACCAAGCCTGGGGCTCTTGAGTCTCAGAGAAAATTGTTAACGAGTCCAGCCGTCCTCTTTGCAAAGAAACAGCAAGCAGGTAAAAGGGCCAAGCAGAACTCCTACATAAATCTGGGCCACCCTAGAAATATGCACAAACAGATGGGTGGAGGCAACTGTCAGACTTAAGGAAGATACACAGTTTAGACACAGGCTTACGAAACCACAGCATTTGGCAACAAAAACTGGAATTAATTCATGCTGACTTTCTGTTAAGACCACATAAAATATGAAGCCATGTCTTCATTAACTCTCCATGCTACGTGTTAATACACAAATGCAGCTGCGGCTGCACAACATACATGCATGTTTACTAAATCATGAAGAAAAAAGTCATTAAAACTCCAGAAGACTACTTAGGTCACAAACTATTCTGCAGTCAAATTATTCTGATTATAAAAGAAGGAAAACAAGTGGTATTAAACAATAGCAATCCATTCCTCAGTATTTCAGCCATTGTCCCAAACAGTTAGAAAAACAATTAATTTCTGCTTGGAATGGAATGGAGTGGTTTGAACAGAAATTGGGCAGAAAATACTTGCAAGGACTGAATTTACCCATAATCTGAAAAGACCAGTCACAAGTAAAAAGATTATGTGACCTTCTGGACCCAACAACAATTATTTCTATTCCTAACCACAACTTGTGTTCAATTTGGAATATACCTCATAATGGCCTTCTTTAACTGCATCTTGCAACGGTGTTATTTGTTCATCTGCTCTAGCATTGACATCAGCTCCTGCCTTCAATAGCTCATTTGCTATCCCATAAATGCCTTCTGGACTTGCAGTATGTAGTGCAGACCAGCCTACAAAAAAGAAAAACCTGTATTTCATAGTTTGGGTGAAATAAATTTAAAAAAATTTATGCTAGTTTTGGGTTGTTTATTTGATAAATATTTTAGAGAGTATACTGAAAAGGTAAAAACTGATGCATTTTACAATAAGCTGGATGAAGAAATACTTATGAAAAAGTCACAAGGGTTGAGAGATATCATTCTTTTGTCAAAAATTGCACTTACGGAAGAACCAGGTGCTGCTGTAACAATATTAGTTTTTAGATTTGATAGTTCTGTTATGAAAGAAAAGAATAAAAATTATCCTGCTCACATCCTTAGTAATTTCTCCTCAAATAATATGTGTATTCTATCTTAAGAACATGACAATTTTTCGTGGCACTTTCTTACTTACATAGCCAAGACTAAGTAAGAAAGAAGGGACAAAAAAACAAGGTCTAGAGTCTTTATTACAAAACAAGAAGTTTTTTTAAGACTATCCAAGAATGGTTCAAGCTTCCAAAGAAAGCAATGAAAAATCCTTACTGAAATTCCATATCCATTACCAGCTATATGGAATAAACCAAGATATAAGCTTCATGACCCACAGAGTAATTATGCTCCATGAAGGAAGTGTTGAGGAAAAATAAAAGATGGAATGTCAATCTTTGAACCGGGTTTAGCATAGCCTTGCATGAGCTCCTTAAACATTCGTTATGTGACAGGTTTTTGTCAGAAAAAAGGAAAGTAGGGGAAAAAGACAAGATGATCTTCCCATCTTCCAGCTCTCAAACCAGCATTCCCTCCAGAAGATCATTTTGATGGACACCCATACTATTTAACCAGCTCCCATTATCATAAGGTTGTCTCGGCCTAATTCACATACTAAACATGTGATTTAAAATGTGAATTAGCCTTATTAAGACTGTTCTGCTCTCATTAAGCAAAATTAACATAATTTCATTGGAAAGAGAAACTCTCAAGGCTCTCTTATACATCACCTAACCCAATATGTTCTGTCTTTCTACAGAATTGGGTTTATTATGGGCACAGGATGTTGCATCAGGTTGTCCCAAAATTTTGTGCTATTACACTTTGTTCCTGAATGCTTGAAACTCAGCTAAGTTTTAACTACATTGCCTAATGTCGACAGTGCTTCAAGATGAATGTTTTTTAACATTATCATTGATACAAGTCGGCAGAGAGCCTATTTCCTTAAGAAACTTTTAAACTCCATATTCTGGAGCAAAAGCTTGAAACCTGTTAGGTGGGGGATAAAAAAGGTTCACTTGGCAGAAGGTACCTATTTCTCCCTTTATCTAATAAACTGCTAAGCCTCTGATAAATTGGACCTTCAATTGATAAACACTAGAGTTTAGCAACATGATTCTCCAAGGATCCTGTGGATGCTCCAGACCAAGAAGAAACACAAGCTTCATGGCAACTGTTTTTCAGCTCCCTCAAGGCACTGTGAATCGAGACTCAAACTGAGAGCCCAGACAGGATCTCTCCCACATCCTGTCCATATCTTATATGCTGATGTCCGGGAAATAAGAGGAAAAGAACCCAAAAACTCAGTAAGATACTGGAAGCAGAACACTGACGCACAGGAAGAAGGAAAAATACTGGGCTAAGATACAGGTGGTCACTGGTGGAGAGCTTTAAAGGAAGAGAAAAGGCATAGAGGCAGAATATAACCATCAGAACAATGATACCTAAAGAAAGTAAGACAAAAGCACATTTCAAAGTGACACAGGTCTGGCAACTTTACTTCTTTCTGATTACACCTCCTTCATTAAAATCAAAGAATTATAACCAGGTCAGCCTATCATCTCTTCAAGAAGGTCAACTCAAACACATTTTGTGCATTTGTGCTTCTTTTGCACCAAAAAATAGCAGCCAGAGTCTGGGGGATGAAGTCACAGTGGCCTGGCAAAACATGCAAAGGCAGAAAGAGGAAGCAGTGGACACCTGCCCACCGATGCCGCAGCTGAACCCACACTATCGCTGTTTCTCTGTTGTCAGCAGGTGGCTTTGAAACCCACCAATAAAATATTTTCTCATCTACCTCCAGCACAAGTTAACACACGTTTCGTGTCACTGTGTTAGCTCAAATGTCAGACTCCTGTGCTGGAAAAGTCTGAAAATTGCTGCTGACACAGTCTATCTCTCAGTGTATTCCAGAAGACAGAGAATTTCCACCTTAATTTTGGTCTGTCATATGCCTGCATTATGCAAGAGCCTTTATCTGCAGAACACACCTTTGTTGTTCCCACAGAACAGTTGTGAAATCCTAGCCCCACAACAGGATGGAAATGCTCTAAGAATTAATAAAAGTTTTCTACCAAATGATCCAGCTGTCTGTGAAACCATTTTCAATTTTGTTTTGGAAGTTTATCAAAGCCTAATGGATGAAACAAGGAACTGCAGAATAATGAACAACAGTCTTGCATCTGACAACACCAATTGATGATTTAGGGTGTGGCACAGAGTATCTGACACAGGTTATCACACATGAAGCTGAATAAGGTGAATTGCTTCAATCAAAACATTCACAGCTGGTGACTATTTGCTTTTTTTGTGCCCCAGATGAAGTAAAAATGCAAAATACCAAGTACTTACAAATCTACAAAACTAAAGCATTGCTAAATTATGAAGCTACAGCTTCATTTAAGATGAGAGGGGCAAAAACAGTCCCTGAAAAATTAAACTGGAAAATCTAAATCTCAAATTGGCCACTGAAATGGATTAAAAAAACCCCCAAAAAACAACATTACATGGATTATTTAATTACGGGACGCTTTTGTGGCAAGCATCCACAGGATGGTTGAATTAAGGTTAAGTAAACTTAATTGCATCACTTTATAATTGTTAAGTGCTTACTTTTTCCACAGAATTTTCTCTTTTAACATACTTTTACACATAGGTCTATGTTTTCTCATGGACACCTATGAAGTTAAACCAACAAAAATGTAATAATCTACTGACTAGTCACAAATCTACAGTCTTGTCCACTGCACAAACTCAAAATAGGCACTTTTATTAGTTATAGGTAGAGACTTGTTTTGAAAACAGTAGTTTAATACAATTGCGTCTTACCAGCATAATCCTGAACATCTGCGTTTCCACCAGCTTTTATTATGCTATGTACAAGGTCTGTATCTTGATGAGAAACAGCTCTATGCAGTGAGGTTTCACTAGAGATGGCATCCCAGCAATCTGAAATTACTTCTTTCTCTCCCTGCTGATCACCCACAAGCTGTGACAAAAAAGAAGTATTACAAACAACTAGTAAGCATGCAGTTAAAACAAGGGCTGTGTATATAAAGAGCTCCAAGAACACTGTCTTGTAAATTATGCGTGCTCACAGACAGTGCAGGGGTTGCTTAAGTGAATAACTGGAATTCTACAGATAGGAGAGACAGAGGTTGCCATAGGAGAGGCACTCCTAAAGTAGTATGTCACATCATGTGCCCCTAGCAGAATTAGCCAAGGGCATTAGGATACTCAGAATCACAACTTAAATAATAAATACAGGCTGGCTGATGGTGAACAGGAGTTGTTACTACCTGGAAGCTCTTTGGTTGGAAATATGAAATGACTTAACATATTCATTTCAGCTTCCTATGGACACGAGCATGTGATGTTTAAAATGTGTTAAGCTAGCCAATCTTAACCTCACTCTTGCACAAGCCTAGAAATGTGCCTAAGATCAAGAACCATGTTTCATCTGAGGTTCAGTAACTCCCAGCTAAGTTATTTCTAAAGATGTAACACCCCTGAACAACAGCTGCTACAGATACGGTTCACTTACCTCCAGGCTACTAAAAGCCAGGCAACTAGACAACACTAGGCATCCCCATTACTCCTACCACTGGTGGAGAGGAAGAGCTCTTTTTAGAGATTATGGTGATTCACCTGGTCCTAAATTGTGCAAAGGGAACCTAAATGATTGGTGTATGCCAGAGGCTTACTTCTAACAGTAAGGGACAGAAACCCACCCTAAAGATAGGTCATCACATGGCAGATAATTTGAGTTACTTGAGATTATTCACTTGTTTTACTCAAGTGAGTGTGATGTGCTGCTTATTATTCAAGCTACTGAAACCTGGGTACTCATCAGCTTATTACACACCTGAGTAATACTGAAAGCTCTTAGGACACACCCTCAACACACATGCATACAAATTCTTTCACAGGGATGTGGGAGAACTTGTTAGTCCTTTCTTGGGACACAGATGGAAATGGAGAATTTGCTGATTAATTTTTTTAATTGACATATTCAGCACAGAGGCTATTGAACAGGAAAACTGCATTGCTACAAGTGGTCTCTGCAGGTGAAGAGATGTGGCAGTCAGGGAAAACCAAATATTTCAGTTGACAAAACTATCAGTGCAGTACTTTCCATGGCACCATATCTGCTGTCGGAGGAGGTTAGAGAAGAAAGAAACATTTCAAAGAGAAAAAAAAGGCCATTTGCTTTACAAGAGACCATGTATTAAAATAAATCGGCTATCCAGCATCCTGATTGCATCTACAGGACAGTACAGTCACTCTTCTTGGGGGTACTTGTTTCACTATAACAAGGATACTCTGAAGAAACAAAAATTAAAAAAACATTGAAGTGAACAATATACTGTTAGAATTCAAGAGCTGCCAAAAGATTAACTGGGATTTTTCCCTCATTAAATTGCCTCCCTACTTTCTGCCTTCAAGGATATCAGAAGAAGGCACAAAAAAAGCTAAAATCAATTATTAATTGACAAGAGGTTATAGATCCCCATTCCCACAGGACCCTGCTCCAACAATCTTAACTGCAATATTGAGTAAATCTACACATTAAGCTTCACACAGGTACAAATCTCAGAAATCACTTCACTGAAGGAGCTTTGGTAAGTTGCTATGGTTATGAGACAATTAGCCTAGAGATCTTTTGGCACCTTGAAATCAGCTACCTTTGTGGCACATTTTACTGTGTACTGAGATACAAGATAGTGAGATAGTATTCATATAATATTACCAGCAGAAGATGGAATTAACATAGCTTTGGATGCCTTATGCCATTGTGGGTAAGCAAAATGGAGGTAAAACCACCTTAAATAGCTAGTTATATGTGTCTGATCATTGATTCACAGCTCCAGATTATTCAAAGACAGCAGAGAACCTGATTACAGGTTTGCAAGGGATGTCTACTACACTCTGTAGCATAAACAAACATCTCCAATGTGTCCTTCTCTTTCCATAAAAATTATAACCTAAACAGGAAGAATATAGCATTTCTTTCCCTTCACAATCTTCTCCAGATTTTTGCATTTCTATTGAAGAATCCAAATGACCACGTCTACAGCACAGGACATAACACTGTGGAGAGAACAGAGTTCTGTTGCTCAGACTCTGCTGCGATCACCCTCAGGCTGTGGGTCTCAGGCTCTCTGGCTCTGACTCTCACTACTCAGGACCTAGTTGTGCATCAGTTGGCAGGTGGTGAGCAACTATATCATACGTTTTATCTTCTAGTATTTTAATTACTTATTAGTAGTAGTATTGTTATGTATTTATATATATGTTATTCATTTATATTCAATTAGTAAATAGTTCTTATCTCAATTTTATGAGCTTCCTTGTCATTTCCCTCCAATTCTCCCCCTCCGCTGGAGGAGGAGGGGGGGAAGTATGCAAGTGGTTACATGGTATTTTTATTGCCAGCCAAGGCTAAACCACAACACCACATCAGTCACTGAATTAACTTTACCTGGATTTCCCTTCCTAGCAAGCTCAGCTGTTTTCATAACACGGATATATCAAAACATAAAAATACTACTGGACTTTTAAAACAAAAACAATTGACATGTACTAAGCATGTAAATTATCGATGCCAGTTTATTCTTTACTAAGATTCACATCTCCAAGCAATTTGGCTATTCCATAAAATATTTTATTATAACAACTTTTCAAATACTAATTAAACCGTGTATATACTTGCTTATTTGCTGTCCCCTGCAAGTTAGATCCTGTTAAGGATTTTATTTCTTACACCTGAATTATAGCAAGTTGAGGCTCAATCATGTTTGTTATTTGTGTACAGTCATCATCTAGCTGGGGAATACTGTGTTCTGAATTTAACTGTTCTCCTTTGGTGTTGTGTCTCATCTGGCACTACAGGAGTGACAGGTTGTACTACAGATCCTGACAAGGCATTCAGAGCTGTCACAAACTGTACTGACACAGCATCACTGCTCTCATCTGCTGACAGATCAATGGAAAAGGCATGACCCTGACACTCTAAATTGTCAGGTTTACAATTTTCAAACTTTCGGAATCAGTGAGGAATCTCAACAAATCACTGATTTCAACTTCACCAGTCTCTATATTCTGTTCAATGAATGTTACCATGAAAATCTTCCCTGCGGATGTCAGTGAAAGATGTGTATCATTATTATGGGAATGTTATTTTACTCTGTTTTCTGTGTCAATAATGGTCATGTGGGTTCTCTGGAAATCATCTAAAACATGCAGAAATATATCCTGTGGTGTTTGTTATTATATCCTCCAGAAGGACATCTGACAGAGACTTATTTCTGGAGAGAGGTCTATAATACCTAATTTCTGTGAAATCTAAACATTAAAAAAAAAAAGTTTACAAAAAGGAATGGGACAACTCTTTCTAAAAAGCACGTAATTTATATTCACTTTAGAAGTCATCCATATATATATGTTTTTAATTGGAAATTTTTGCATAAACTTCAAGACTTCCCTAAAAACTCATATAATTTCTTGACAAGAGTTAGATTGAGGTCTCAGTTTCAAAAGTAGGGCACTTCAGCTGTTGAATTTCCTAGCAGAGAAGATCAAGAGTAAGAGAGACTAAATCTGTTATAAAGTCAAAGATATTGCACCTTTGCCAATGACCTGAGGGTGTTAAAGGGCTATAAAAGAAAGGCATTAAAATTTCTGTCACCCAGAGATAATGACAGTGAATACAATCAAAATAGTAAAAAACCCCATAGTTAGACATACACAACATATGAGGTTTGATTATGTCTTTATATGGATCCCACACAGGAATGGAGCAGCCTGTTCAAAAACCACAGGTGGTTTTGAACCTCCTTCAGTTTTAAACCTTTATAGAATCTGCACGTTTGAGTTTCCACACTGAGTAGAGAATCACAAAATTGTAATTGTTCTTGGAAAAAGTAACACTACTACTGGGGCTTTTCCTAATCACTTTGAGGTGCTTGCAACAGTTGCACCCATTTTTATTACCAATTAATAGCTTTTTCATTTTCTTCCTATTTCTGTTTCAAATGCTTGTGCAGGAGAAAAATCAGATGCTTCAGCAGACCTAAAATACTTTTTCTATATAACATTTGCCTATCATAGTGCTGTTGCTTAGTAATACTGGATCTTAAGAGAATCTCTTTCAATACGTTTTTAGACTCTTGCTGCCGGCAAGTGGCAATACTGGGCAGTGCAAGAACCCTTTAACCACTGGTAACACAATTTTGACAAAGCTCACACACAATAAGACAGAAAGGGCAGAGCTCCGATGGCACTGACTCACATTCAGTTTGTAAGCTATTATAGATCCCTGACCCTGTTAAGAAATTATTCCCCAGCCTGCTGGTTCCTATCTTCTACCTGTGCAGCTAAGTGTTCCTTTTAAAATACGACCTTTTACTTTGCTGCATTGAATCACAGTTTCTTTCTAGACCACTTCTCTAACTTGTGCAGACTTTAAACAGTTGGGGAAAAAAACCCCACTAGCATAACTTTCTCTACTTGAAGAACTGTGGTATAAACAACATGTATGCATATTACAAATCTCCTAAGAAAAAGGCTTGGTGCATTTGCTGAAGGGCAGGTGAAAATTCCGTTTATATTAATGGAGAAGCATCACACAGGCATAAATGATTAATTTTGCAAGATCCTAAAAACCCAAGCGACAACCAAAATCCAACATTGAAATGTGACTGGTGTTCACAAAACACCCATCCAACTAGAGGTGCCTGAATTTCTTTAGCATTCATTTCTGTGGTACTTGTTCTACATGTAATTAAAATCTGCAGAACATAATAAAAGCCAAAACTTTCCCTCCCTAAAACTCATCCTCAGCTGCCACTTACCCATAAAGACACTTAAAGCCCCAGTGCCTATAGTCTCTGTATCTTCTGTTGAAAAGGAACAGAGGAGCTGCTGAAGGGGCAAGGTTGAGCCAGCTGGGAACTGAGCCAAACCAGGGAGTTCTCTCTCCCGTGGACCCCAGTCTGGTAAATACTGTCTGAATACACACACCTTTTACTCAAAGGAGGAGCAGGATTCCTCCTCAGTCAGTAGTTCAGAAGTAAAATACCAACATCGTGGTAAATGCAGGCTCAGGTCCATTCTTCACCAGAAAAGCTATGCTTCAAGCAACGCTTTTTAAAAAGGGGGTCCTATGTAAGAATGCCAAAGAGAAAAAGATCTTTGGCATAAGGCTGTTAACTCTTTTGGGGGTTGGAATGCCAACCATCTCAAGGTATCTGTGAGATTTCAAAAGCCTTGTTTTAAACTCCATTATATTCATGTCAAAATTATTCCCAGTACAAATCCAATCAAGATGCTCCTTAACCCAGGCACAAATCCTGCTGACCTTCTATTATCAGCCCAGAATCTCTTGTCTCCCCATCTTACCCAGCAAGCACACACTGGGTGACAGCCGAGCATGGCCACAGTCAAATGCAGCCTCAGCTGATTCAGAACCTCACACCAGAGGAAGCAGGTGGACAGGGGAGTCAAGCAGAGGTCTCATCTAATAAACCGACCTACCTGACCGTGTATAGAAAAAACGTGTGTTAATAAACTCACCGTGCCCAAGGCCAGTGAGCAAGCCAGGCTTAGCCAAGCCTTAGGTGTCTACCTCTCCCCGTAGACTACATGAGCAAGCTTAAATCTGGCCTGTCAGTTCCAGCACGTGGCACTGCATTCACATCACCTTGGTGCATCTTGACTTGCCAGGATTTTTTTTTTCCATGTGTTTGAAAACAATGAAAAAGTTATTGAGAAATCAGTGGCTATTTGGTGTCACAGACTGTGTCTTGCAAATGTTACAAGATAAAACTGGACAAATACTGAAGCATAAATAATGAGGGTGGAGTATTCCTGTACCTGCAAGCTTTGAGCCAAACAACTGCAGAGAAGTTCAGCCTTTCAATACATACATGTAAGAGAAGCCCTATAAAAGAGTTAAGGCTTCAGAAGGATCAACATTACCAGCTTTTGAGAGAACACTGAGCTGAAGATTACTGCAATACACTAGGACATAAGAGATGCACAGAGAATCACAGAACAGTTGAGGTTGGAAGGGACGTCTTGAGATCATCTACTCTGACCTGGCTGGCTGCTCAAGCAAGCTGTCAGCTGCAGCAAGTTGCCCAAGACCATGTCCACTCAAGTTCTGGGTATCTCCACAGGTGTAGAATGTACAACAGCTCTGGGGAACCTGTTTCAGTGTCTGACAACGCTCACAGTTCAAAAGTGTGTTTTTGTGTTCAGATGGGATTTTTTTTTTTAATTTGCGTCCATTGCCTCTTGTTCTATCAGTGAGCACTACTGAGAAGTTGGGTTCCCTCATCTTCATTCCTTCCTGTCAGGTGTTCATACATATTGGTAAGATCCCCCTGAGCCTTCTCTTCTCCAGGTTCAAGGTTGAACAGTCCTAGCTTTCTCAGCCTGTCCTCACACGAAAGATCATAGAATCACAAAATAGTTAGAGTTGGAATGGACCTTCAAAGGTCACCTAGTTCAACTCCCCTGCAGTGAGCAGGTACACTTCAACTACATCAGGTTGCTCAGAGCACTGTCCAGCCTGACCTTGAACATTTCCAGGGATGGGCTATCTACACCCTTGCTGGGCAACCTGTTCCAGAGTTTCATCACCCTCATTATAAAAAATATATTTCTTACATGTAGTATGAATCTACCTTCTTTTAGTTTAAAAGCAATACCCTTTGTCCTGTTGCAACAGGCCCTGCTAAAAAGTTTGTCCCATAGCCCCCTTTAAGTACTGAAAGGCTGCAATAAAGTCTCACCGGAGCATTCCCTCCTCCAGACTGAACAACCCCAACTCTCTCAGCCTGTCCTCACAGGAGATGTGATCCAGGCCTCTGATGATCTTTGTGACCCGCCTCTGGACTGCCAACAGGTCCATATCTTCCTGTGCTGGGGTTCCCAGAGCTGGATGCAGCACTCCAGGTGGGGTCTCACCGGAGTAAAGTAGAGGGGGAGAATCATCTCTCTCAACCTGCTGGCCACGCTGCTTCTGATGCAGTCCAGGATACAGCTGATTTCCTGGGCTGCAAGTACGCACTGACAGCTCACGTCCATCTTTTCATCCATCAGTATTCCAAAGTCCTTCTCAGCAGGGCTGCTCTCAATCGCTTCATCCCCCAGCCTCTACTGATACCAGGGATTGCCCTGATCCATATGCAGGCCCTTGAACTTGGCCCTGTTGAACCTCATGAGGTTCACAAGGGCCCACTTCTCAAGCTTGTCCAGGTCCCTCTAGATGGCATCCCATCCCTCCCCTCCAGCATGTCAACTGCACCACCCAGCTTGGTGTCACCTGCAAACCTGCTGAGGGTGCACTCCATCCCACTATATCATCGATGAAGATATTAACCTGTACTGGTCTCAGCAGAGATCCCAAGAGACACCACTCACCACTGATCTCCATATGGACAATGTGCCATTGAGCATCCAACCAATTCCTCATCCACCCAACAGTTCATACATCAAATCCGTATCTTTCCAATTTAGAGAAAAGGATGTTGTGGGGGACCATGTCAAAGGCCTTACAGAATCAGATGCACCAATCCTTTAATCAACGTTCTCACAAGAGGTCTTCCTGCTGCACTCACATCTTGTCAGTGCCAGCATCAGCCAACATGCAAAAAGTTTAATTCACCACAGTGTGTATTTCCAACCTTTTTACTCCAGGCTCCTAAAATATCCTCTCTGGGGATATTCTCAATCTGCTTATTCTCCAGATTCTATTTATTGATCACAGATAACCTTTGTTTCAATGCATTTTGATTTTGTTCTATTTAACTAATTCTGCACAATGAGAATGTTTAATTTCATAAACTTGGCATTATATTTGTATATCCGTAGTTGTATACTCTAAAAAAAAAAGGAATAGCCATGGGGATTTAATTTTTTGCGTTTGTTGGGATACTTGACCATGTAATCAATTGTATTTGCTACAAGGCATGAACCATTTGCCATACCGATCTCAAATTTGGTTTTGGTGAATTCTAGGAAGTACTGTTTTTTCCCAAACATTAACCTTAATCAGGCTCCTTGAAAAATAGGAAAATAAAATTGATTTATACAGAATTCTAACTTTTTATTTATAGGTACAAATCTATGCACTAGATGGAACAGTCATAAAGCTATGATCTGTGCATTAAGCGGGTTGTTTCAGAAGATTATTGCACTGCATATTGCTGTAAATTGCTCCCCACGGGAGTGTCAGAGAAGAAATACTGGAACTGGTA